CAAAGAAGATCACACTGAGCGCGCTCAGAACCGCTGAGAACCGGGCCGGAACAGACCGTTTCCATGGGAACACAGAGAAACCATCATCAGGGAGAATCTACTGTGCTGGATCGGAACCGGACTGTAGCAGGTTCTCCTGGTTCTGCCGGGGCACGGTTAGCCCATCATGGACAGACAGTCCAGAACCGGAGTCACTCCGATCCAAACGGACTCCTGACAGATCCGCTCAGACGCTTCGACACAGAGAGGCATGAAGCTGCAAACAGTCAGAATCGGCGCCGCTGGTACCGGGCCAGAACCCTGACGGCTGTCTGGCAGGAGCCCAGCGGTGCCAACGGAGCAAACAGCCTGAAGACTGACGCGGCGGCTGGCACCCGAACGCACCGCGGTGCCGGCCCAGAGCCCGGAGCAGATGGCGCCGCTGGTTCTGTTTCCAACATGTTCCTGTCACCACAGACCCCACCCCCTATGCCCAGCCTGGCCTCTGATTGGCTGCTGCTCCACACAGAATCGTTTTGAAATGTGGAAACAGGCCAGAGCTGTATCACACCCAGAACCTCTGACATGGTTCTGATGTCTGACCCAGAACCTCTGGCTGATGATGATGATGATGAGTCAGATCAAGCTGCTGGTCTCAGAAAACCTGGACCAGATCAGAACCGGGAAGTGAGGAGAATCCGTCCTCACTTCCTGTCTGGGTCATGTGACCTGCTCTGCGGTTCCCCAGTCAGCTGACCTGCTGGAACTGCTAGTCCTACTGGACACACTGACCTGGAGCGGACCTGGTTACCAACAAGTCCTATTAAAACAGAGCGGAGACATGCTTAGCGTTAGCCTAGTGCTAACTGAGGCGGATCAGGTCAGAAACTCCAGTCAGCAGAATCGGGTCCTGCAGGTCCTGGAACATCCTGACAAGTCCTGATACTCAGCAAGTTTCACTACCTTCAGAGAAGCATCCTAGTCCTCCAGGTCCTTCATTTTATACCAATCAGGTATAAAATGTTTACAGTTTGAAACTTGAGACATTGAAATAAAATAATTGCACATGAAGACGTGACCTTCAGTAATGTTTCTGCTCAAGTTTTTTTAGTGCTTGAGCTATTGTTTCTGTATTGATCATATTTAATGTCCTGCAGTGTTAGCATGACGCTCAGTAGAACCCAGATCCCGTCAGACCGTCAGTTCCTGAAACCACGGGATTAAAAACCTGGTAAACGGGAACGTGGGGTCAGTGAAACCTCCGGCGCCAGGGAAAAAACTTTCAGGGTTTGTTTTCTAACTTTTTATTTTAGAGATTTGTGGTTTATTTCCGTTTCTATGGAGTTTTATTTTTATTGCAGCTGAAAGACAAGAATCCAAAGGTCATTTTATCTATGTGGCGCATTTGAAAGCAGTTCAAGCAAAGTTCTGCACATTAGTTCCACACTGGTCCAAAACTACAAACTTCCAGAACCACAGGAGAGAGACGGAGGTTCTGGTACCGAGACTATGATGGTTCTGCTGAAGAACCGCAGTCAGGTCGGAGTCAGAAGGTCCAGAACCAGAACCGGTCCTTCTTTCCCTGACTGAAACGGGCCGGTCCAGAGAACATCTTGTCCACTATGAGAAGTACTGCTCTTCATCACATCCAGAACCAGAACCTGCCGGGCCTCAGAACCGTGGGCCGGCCTGGTTCCCCTGCTGCTAAATTTACATAAATAAGATAAAGTTGTTTAATTTAAATATGTTAATGAGGCGCAGCAGCAGGGTGAAAGGATTCAGACGAATTTATTAAAACTGATTTCTGAATCACTGAATGAGATTTATGAACACTGAACGATTTTAGACAATAATCCTGTCATAACCAGTTAGTTCTATAAAAATACTAAAGATTACATTAAAAAGCTTCATCAACAAACTCAGACGATATTTTCTGTTTCTAATCATCTTCTTCATTTTCAAGGTTCAGATCTGAAAACTCATTTAAATATAATATAGATTGTGATGTGAAGAATATTGACTGAGATTAAATTTATTTTGTAAAGAAACTTTTAGCTTAACTAGATTTCATATTTTAAATAAACTAAATATTTTAATAACTACAGAACGGCTTTAACCAGCAGGATTATAATTACATACCTTTAATAATATTAATAACAATTAATTAACAATAATAACAACAATCATAACAATGATTAGTTGTTATCTGAGGCTGAACTGCAGAACTGGACCAGATATTGGAGCCTGGAGCGATCTGGACCTCAGCATGAGGCGGGTCGGTTCTGGTCCGGATTAGAACTGAAACTCGACCCAGAAGCCCAGAGATCCGGAGCAGCTGAGGGGAGGAACCAGAACCCAGGGAGGGGTCCGGTCCGGTCCGGTTCGGTCCATGTTTCAAGAGCTAAAACACTGAAGCTGTCCTCTGAGCTCATCCTGGAACTAGAACCCATCCTCTCTGGGTCGATCAGTACGGCAGAACCAGTGGCAGGTTGTTAGATCCAAAAGGTTCAGAACATTTCCAACCGGGTCAGAACCGCCACCTGAGCTGAAGGTTCTGGAGGAAAATCTGGAACATGGATCAGAACAGAAACTGGGTCGGGAAAAATCCGAGGCTTTCTGAGACCCGGTTCTTTTCGGATGGTTCTGAGCTGAGGAGGTCCAAACTGGACGACTTCATCAGTTCTGATCTCAGAGGAGAACGTCGATCACTTTTTTTCATTTTCCATATTTGAGTTGCTGAGCAGGAAACTTTGACTAGACCGAGTGCCGTTTTAATCTGTTCAGGACAAGAAGCCACAAAGTTTCTGATCCTGGTGTGAAAGAGAGCGGCTGACTGGATAAAACGTTTAGTTTCAGGTGAAGTTCTGCCGTCAACTTCCTCTTCTCTCGGAGATGGTGGCTTCGCCTCCGGTTACCGGGGCAATGTGATGTCAGCGTGATGTCACGGTGTCCAGGCCACGGGGCGAGCGAGGCCGCGGGGTGGGAGGAGAGAGAGAGGACGGCGTGTTCAGGAAGTTCAAGCAGACAAACTCTAATCCTCCAATTTCCTCCTTTAATCATCTCTGGCTGCTGCAGACCCGGCCCAAATCAGAACCAGAACCAGAACTCGGCCCGGACACAGAGACACTGTTAACCCTACAGAACCAGGCTAGAACCAAAACCGGGTCACAACAGGGTCAGAATCAGCCGATGTCATGATTTTTTGACTAAAACTGAAACATTATTAATCTGTCAGTCCGAGTTTCCTTCATGTTGCTGAACTCTGTTCATCCCGACCAGAACCATCAGAGAAAATTCAGAAAATATCACCAACTTTTCAACTCCTTTAAACCTGTTCCTTTTAAGGTTCTGTTTGGGTTCTGGTTGCGTCTGTCAAGCAGAACCAGAACCCCAATGAAGACAACAAGACTCCTGCTGCAGCACCTCCTCCGTCTGGTCGGGTTCTGATCGGTTCTGCTCTTGCAGCCGTTCACCTCAGCGCTACCGAACACATCTGAGCTGGCGGCGGTTCGGCTGCTACTCACGGGTCCAAACGGGCCGGCAGCGGCTCAGCGAGTTCAGAGGAAATAAATCCTCTCATCAGAAATTAAAATTGATTTTTTTATGTTGTTATATTTTAAAAACAAACAGATCTTTTTTAAATAATTGAAGTTTATTGCAAAGCTTTCAGATTCATTTAGATCAGATAATTAAATAAAACTAAAACAGAAAATCTATAACTTTCTAACATCTTCCGGTCCGGTTCGATCCGTTTATAGGAATTAAAACTTAATTTATTAGAAATCGTAATTTTCCTGCTCTGCTGTAAAATGTAACGACAAAATAATAATGCCAGCATTTTCTGACTGAATTGTGTTTCTACATTTTTAAATATGACGGAGTAAAATCTGTAATTTATGTCTCTTAAATTTTAATAACGAAATATTTTCAGTGTAAATAATCTGAACCAAAAATTAAACTAGAATTAATTTTAAGATGCAGCAATTATACACAAATGTACTGCGTTTCACTGGACCCGCAGCGGTTCCGATCCTTTTCTCTTTCTGCTCCAAATGAAACTCAAATTAAATCCGAACCGCCGCGGCATCAAATCACAATTAAAACCTTTTATTTTAAATAAAAACAACTAAATTATGTCCAATTATAATAATAAAATCTGTAGCAGAAACATCGACATACAAGCCGGGCATTAATCCAACTTTTCCCGATCAGTCCAACCAGAACCGAACAAGCCGAACACAGACGCGGATTCGGGTCCACGCAAGACTGTCACAAGCCCCCGCTGCGTGTCCGTGTCGGTTTCCGTGTCCCGGTCCAAAAGTTGGGGGGAATTCGGTCCAGTTCCAGAGAAAATAAAGCCACCTTTGTTGCCGCTTTTCCCGAACCTGCAGCTCTGCAGCGGAACCGGCGGCGGTCCGTCCGGAGCTCCTAGCCGGGCTCAGGCCGCTGCGACCGGGGCCTGGCAGTGAGCTGTCCGGTAATGAAGCCTCGCAGCGGGCAGCGCGTTCAACTTCCAGCTCATTTGGACCAACAAAACACAAAAAGCCATTGTAGCCCCACACACCCCAGAACCGCCCCCTCCCAGCACCCTCAGCGACGGGGAGGTCAAAGGTCGCCTGGCCCCGCTGACCGCCAAACCCTGCCTAATGTGTCCCGGCGCGGCGGCCCGAGCCTCGGCCCGAACCGGGCCAGGGATTCGGCCGCCCGCTAATTAGTAGCCGCGGGGAGCGCACACAGAGTCGCACACTTCCTAGCGATGACACCGAGCCGCGGAGCGGAGCCGGCGGCCCGGGCGGCAAGACAGGAACTGGACTGGAGAAGGACTGGAGCGGGACCAAAACCGGACCACAGCGGGACCGGAACGGGACCCGAGCCGGACTCGATACGGACCAGTCCCGAAGAGTTGGAAAAGTCGTGTAAAGCGAGAGTTAAAATGAAGCTGCAGAGAGGATGAGGAGGAGTGCTGCGCGGAAGGAAGTAAGGAGGAACCAGAACCGGGCCAAAAAGTTGGTCCAACTCACCATCCACCAGGTTCGGGCGGAGATGTCGTAGCAGAGCTGCCATTTAATGGATCCCTCGGAGCTTTTGGCTGCCATGCCGCCGTCAGAGACCCTCATTTGCTGCGGTTCGGTTCGGTTCGGCTCAGCTCTGCGCGCATCAGCGGTCCCACGGAGGAACCGCTCGTTCTGGCATGACGGCCAACATGTAGTCCGCTCCGAACCGGGAGGAATCATGGGTAAAAAAAACCGACCAATCTGGTGTGGAGCCCGTGGCAAGGTGAGCAGGCAGTCATCTGCTGCAGGAAAACACACACACACACACACACACACTCCGCTTGCTCCGCTCAGCGCCTCGGGTCGCTTCTTCCTCCTCCGCTTTAATTAGAGCTTCATCATCATCATCGTCAGGAGGTGAACCACGTGACTCCAAACTTCTTGTTCTTCCAAACACCTGCTGACGGAAGGAGCGCGCGCCGGAGTAGGACCTTCAGACCCGGTTCTGACCGAACCCGGCAGCAGAGAGGAACCGAACCGGAGCCCAGGTTCTGCTGAGCGGAACCAACAGCAGCCGGAAATCCGAGGGCTTTATTGGCCTGTGGGGTAAATAAAGCATTCATCCATTCATCTGTTCATCCATCCATCCATCCGTCCATCCATCCGTTCATCCATCCATCCGTTCATCCATCCATCCATCCATCATCCATCCGTTCATCCATCATCCATCCATCCATCCATCCATCCGTTCATCCATCCATCATCCATCCATCCATCCATCCATCATCCATCCATCCATCATCCATCCATCCATCCATCCATCATCCATCCATCCATCATCCATCCATCCGTTCATCAGGTGGTTCATGTTTAGAATTTTTTTCGATTGTTTCAGAAACTGAATTAATTTCATCAAAACATAAAAACTTTCAGGATTTAATTTAAATTCTGTAACCAACTGAGTGATGCATCCGAACCAGAACCTGGACCGGGTCTTCATGGCAAACTGATTCCGTCAGAACCACAAAGTTCGGAAAATCTGATGTCTGGCTGGTTGAACAGCTGGCCCGGTTCTGGTTCCGGCATCAGTTTATTTCTGTCCTTATCTTTCATCTACGAGCGGAACCGAAACGAACCGAACCTTCCTGAAAATGTCCGGATTAATTTGTGAAGATTAAGTTCCGACCCGCAGGAGTTTCTGAACCTGGTATTATTTCAGCCGGGTTCGGGTTGAAGCTCTGGCTCCAGCCCGGGTTCTGGTTCTGGTTCGGTTCTGTCCGGGGCTCGTGCCAGGTGAAGGTGTGCGGCGGGTCGGGTTGCTGCTCAGAGGGGAATACCTGAAGCCGAGCCACAGTTCTCCCTTTGTGGCGGAGGAATGTGATGGAGCCGCAGATAGCGAGGTCCGGCCGGTTCGGTAAGGTGAACCGGGCCGGGAGGGAGGGGGTCAGGCTGGGGACAGCTGCTCATTCTGCACCAGCAGAACCCGGTTCCGGACGCATGAAGACAATTATTATTCATTTTTCGCTCCTGGAAAATATCCGAGTCCAAAAGGACGAAAAATAATAATCTGCTCATGATTCATTATTATTTAATATTCATGCTGTAGTTTAAAATATTGACGTCATACTGTTGATTTAACAAACAGTAATAAATATGTTGTCTGTCGTCGCTCATTTATTCCATTTTTATTCATGATTCTGATCGTTTCTGGGTTAAAACCTGAATGCATTCATAGAAAACATAGAAAATCCGTCTAGATGTTCTGCTGTGTGCAGAACATGCTTGGCTCCACGGCCCGGTTCCGCCGGTTCTGAATGATCTGGTTGCTATGGTTACCATAGAGCAGCTCTGAAGCCGTGCTCCAGGTGCTGGCCCTCTAGGAATGCAGTCTGCTACGCCTGATGACGTCACTTCCCCTCCACCATCCTCTCGCCGTTGAACGTGGAGCGACACCAGAACTCTGAAAGATGTTCAACTTTTGTTGGTATCTGTCCCATCGTCGCTTTTTCCGACGGTCGCCCCGCCGAGCGACGTCACTTCCTGTGCAGCTAGTGCCGTGAGGCCACTATTTGTGGAGTACCATCCGGTCAGAGACGGCCTGGGGTTGGCCTCCAGGCAGGAGGCGCCGCTGCGAGTCAGCAGTTTCATCAAACCAGGATCGAAATTTGGCAAACTCTCAATTATCCGGTGGATCCAGACTCTGCCAGTGATCTGCTGCTGTCAGAACATGAAGCCTGACTGAACAGGACAAAGGTCAAGAGGTTCCGGTCTGTCCGGTCAGAGCGACTCCCATGCTCCATAAAAACAAAACCCTGACCTCCAACTGAACAGAACGCGGCCATACGACCCGCCTCCAACATGGCGGCTTCGCCTTCCTCCACAGACGGAGGTAAACATGTCGGTCCTCTGGATCAGTGGAGCCTAGAACGAGCCGGAAGCAGATAAAAACCACCAGTAAAGCTCAGCTAGTCAGCGGCAGCAACGTTTCATTTAAATATGTTTATGAGGAATAAATGGTTATGATTTTAGCAACATTCAAAACAAAACATTTTATATTTTCATTTATTTTATTTGAAATGTTCAGATATCGGAACACTGAAGAAACTTTAACACTAGAATTAACTCTAGACCAGCGTTTCTCCCCCCTGGTCCTCAGCCCCCCTGCTCTGCATGTTCTAGATGAGCCTCTGTTCCAGAACAGCTGATCCAAATGACTGCAGGACCATCAGGAGCTGCAGATCCTGTTAATCACCCAGAGACACAATCCAGGTGGCAGAAGGGAAACACCTGAAACATGGAGGACAGGGAGGCCTGAGGACCAGGATGGAGAAACTCTGTTATAGATTAAAATGACATTTTAATGATAATGGGTCAGCCGCAACAAACCATCAGGTCTAGTCAAAGTTAACCTCTAAAGAACGAAAGGAGCAGATCTGTCATGATTTGTAGCGGTGAAGGTGGTGAGGAGACGCAGGTTGAAGTGAAGAAAATGATGATTTAATGAAAAACATGTACAATAATCCAGGCGGCACAGATGAGCAGAAAGCTAACAGCTCTGGTAGCAACAAGGAACAGAACTGATCAGACCCAAATACCAATCATGTCATAGGCTCCTTTAATTAAAAGCTAAATATTCTCATGTGAAATCCAACAACTTTCAGCTGCTAATAAAAAATAAAATAAAACCAACTTTTACTTAAAGTCAAATTTTAATGAGATAATTTTTACTTGAACATTTTGGTAACACTTTATTTGAAGGGGGTTGAATAAGACTGTCATGACACTGTCATAAACATGACATAACACAGTAAATCATTACTGATATAAATTTGTTATAAAAGTTTTACTGATTGCACTTTAAAAATTAGGTAACTTTATGTTATTAAAGGTAAAGTTTAAACAGTAATGATTTCTTGGTTAATGTCAAGTTGTCATAACAAAGACATTTTGAATAATGTCAACTTTGTATTAAAAGTGTCATAATTTACAGAATGACGCTTTACGACAACAGTCATAAATATTCATGAAGGCTTATTCATGTTCATGACAGGTGTTATGTCATGTTTATGACAGTGTCATGACAGTCTTATTCACCCCCCTTCAAATAAAGTGTTACCAACATTTTAAATCTAAAATCATAAAATCTGATTTTCCATAAATGTGGAATAAGAGACCGGAAGGTTCTGATCCGGTTCAGAAGACAGGACGGAACTGACCCACCGGGCCAACAGAACCGGCCCAGGATGAGACAATGGGAGGAATTATAATCCCCGCTTTCCTATTATTATTGTCATCACCAACTTTATTAAAGACAACGATATGAAACAAACAAAACAAAAAAAAGTCATAGATAGCGGCCAAAGCTCTAGCGGTTCTGGACTCGATCCAGAACCAGAACCGCCGGGCTGAACTTTCTGCTCCGTCGGTTTGTTGGATTATTGATATTTTTAATTGTCGCTTCCTTTAATATTTTTATGGTTTTGTTATTATTCAGTTCCAGTAGTGAACCGGTTCCTGATAACCTGAGGACCCGGTTCTGCCTGCATCAGAACCGGCTCTCCGCCCGTCCACCTTGAGGAGAACCGAACCCCCTCAGATTGATGGGTCTCCCCGCGTCCTTCAGCCTATTTTTGCGCCGTGACCTCTGCGTGTCTGAACGGATCAGAACAAACTCATCAATCTGCCGCCATGTTGGCGCCGAGCGGCTGGCAGCTCGGCCCGGTCCAAACGCCCTGAAGACGCGGAGCGGCCGCCAAGTGGCGCCGGGCGGTTCGGCTGACGGCCCGTCCCGAATCATCAGGCGGACAGGCGCTGAGCGGCGGCCAGACCCGTCATCCTCTGACAACCAGAACCCGCCCCGGTTCTGACCCGAGGCCGGTTCCGACTGCAGCTGCTGTCTGAGCCCGACCAGAACCGGGTCAGAGTCAGGAACCTTCAGGAACTGGAAACTCTTTAGAATTTCAACAGAACCGAGTGAGCTGCTCCAAAAGTCCAATACAACCAGAACCAGATTAAAAGAAGAATGCATGGTACCGGGGTTCCGTCTATAAGCGAACTACAGAACCACACAGAACCGGACCCACCGCTCGGAAAAAAAAGTTCGACCCAAACACAGAATCTGAATATTTAACCATCGGAGGAAACCGGATCCAAACAGAACCGGGACTCCAGCTTCCAGAACCTCAATGAAACGGTGAGCTGGTTCTGCAGAACCTGGTTCTGGACGGGAGAGCTGCAGAACTTTTATTCTGAAAGGCTTCGACAGCTTCACCAGGTGAGCAGACTGGACCATGCAGAACCGGGCCATGACTTCAGGTATCTACGGCCGTCTGCTGAGGTTCTGGGAAATTCAGTAGAACCTCAGATGTTTTATAAGGAGCAGAGTCAGTGGGCGGCCCGGTTCTGTAGAACCTCCTATGAACCCACAGCCTGGCGGGTCAAACCCAATCAGAACCGGGTTTTACTGACAGGGAGAAGTTCTGATGGGATCCGGTGTCTCCAGGCTGAAGGTCCGATTGGATTTCCTGCTCAGGATAAAGAAAGGCCGCATTGTTCCCCCAGGAGGCGCCGGCCCGCCAGCCGGCCCGCCGCTGCTTTCATCTGGCCCGGTCCGAGGCTCCGGATCCGTCCGGACCTCAATGCAGCCGGGAAGCTTTGATATCTGAGCTGCCGGTTCTGACCCAGTGGGCCGGACGGAACCACTGAGGGGAGCTGGCGCCATCTAGAGGCTGCAAGGTGGAGCTGCTGGAGTCTGCGTCTCTCCTTTTCAGCGTCACTAGAAACTTCAGCCCGGTCCTCCGGGTCTCCCAGCAGAACCGGGTCCAGACCTTTAGACGTTTTGAACCCACATGGGAAGAACCGGGACTCAGCAGGAGGAACGACAGGAACCGAGAACGTCCATGGAGACCCGCAGCAAGTCCTGAAGCAGGACCAGAACCCGGTCAGGAGAACCCATCCGGGTCTGAAGGCGAGAACCAAGCGGACCTTTGACGGGCTGTGGGTGTCCTGGAGACAACAGAGGACAGCAGACGTCCTCACAGGGTGGACAGTCAGAGATTACCGAGATGTTTATAGCTCAGGAAGGAGAACCAGGAGAACCATCATGGCTGCAGCCTCCACCTCCCAGTTCCTCTCCGGCCAGCTGAGCTAATCCTAACCCAGCTCCTCTGCATGCTGATGCGCCCCGCAGCTGTTTTTAGCATCCCGACTTGCCTGTCTGCTGCGGTCATCACGGCTGACCGCGGGCCGCCATCGGGCCGCCACCGGGCCGCCACCGGGCCGCCCCGTTAGCTCCGCCCCCCTGGCCTCTCGGCTGCTTAGCATAATTAATGTGATGGAGGAACGCGGTCGGCTGCAGCCGCTGCCACCAGGAATCACGTCCTGCCCAGCGCCAGGGAGACGCAGCGGCCGGTCCAAACGAGCCACCCAACACCAGAACCGATCAGAACCAAGCAGCAGAACCATCCCGGCCTCCAGGAGCCCCAGCTAACCGACTGCTGCTTCAGGTTAAGGCGGAGCCAACAAGTGATCTTCATCAACACCTCCTCTTCCTCAGGCTGCAGTTCTGATAATAATCCATGTTCAGGTTTTTAATTCTGTTATTAATCTCAGATAATCTGCAGAAATGTTTGATTTCTTCAGGAAGCTGCAGCCAGTGAGCCACAGAGGGCACACACCTGGACACACACACACACACACA